AAAAAAAGAAGTTTTTGACAAACTTTTTCTTTTTTTCATCAAGCTTTGTATAATGGACAAACTAACGCAACTTTTTCAATTACTGTTAACAAACTACCTGAAACAATTTACAATTCAAAAAGTACATTTTGTATTAGAAATTATTCCAAGAAAATTCAAGTAGATTTGAAATTCATGATTTAACTTGTGAAATTGTGTATAAGGAAAATATATAAATATTTTCAAAACTGTTACTTTGGATACTAAAGAAATTCCATTAGAAATAATTGAAATATTTGTATATACTTCACCAAATGAAAGAATGAATGAAATAAGTAAAAATAAAATGGAGAAATTTTTTTTTTTAATTTTTTTTCTCTTTCTTCCTTTATTCATAGCTTTATTTGATAATTTCAAGAGTATAATTGAAGAGATCAGTGTAAAAAATGAAGTTTTTAATACCACAGTGATAAATTCTTTAAAAGATGATATATATTTTAAAAATGGATTTGATAATGAAATTACATGGATAAATTCAACTTATCTTCAGATTATATTGAATATGAAAATTTACATAAATGCAGCTTGTCTAACAGGTGTTTAAAACATAATTCAATTCTTATATTGTATAGAAAATAATTTTCTTGTTAGTTATTGGAAAGACAGATGTTAATAAACTTACTGTAGGAGTTAAAAATTATCTACAAAATGGAAAAACTCCTGGATATTTATTACAATTAAATGTTCAAAATATTCAAAATATTTGCTTTAATTTCCCAATAAGCTTAACTAATTACCTATTCGTATATTCGTACCAACAAACAGGATTTAAAGAAATTGATATATTTCTATTATCAAAATTAACTTTTACAAGTTTGTATTAAAATTGTTTTGTTTTTTTTTTAAAAACAAAAATTTTTCTTTTTATGTCAGAAAAAATTGATAAATGTGACCAAAAAATTATTCAATTTAATTTCAATACATCAAAATATACTAATCTTCTTAAAGCATATTATATTGTTTGGATTAAAGGATTGAAATATTCTAATACTATTTTTCTATATACAAGAAAAAATCAAAATGGAGGATACGTTAAATTTTGTCAATTGATAAGTGATGTTGATCTTGTTTATAAATGTTCAAAATTGAATGATTTGATAGAAATAAGGAATGAATTTAATAGAAATTCTACTGAAATTATTCTACATATTTTGTATTAATAAATTGATTTCAATTGAAAGATATTCTTATTTCTTCTTAAAAAAAAGAAGCTGATGTTTGTGTGGAGATGAAAATTCAATCAAAATGTTTGCTTTTTTTTTACTACTTTGTTATTAAAAATGTAAAATAAAAATAATTCTCTAGTTTAAATCAAGTTATTAGACACTAGATGGCACTACTAAAAAAGACAAAATTTTTTTTTGTTAGCATTATAGAAATAATAAAATTTGAAAATTATTAATTAATTTGTATCATTCAATTAATTGAAAAAAGATTCCTTTCTCATTTTCTTTTAGTTGATTAGCATTTCCTTGTTCAACTATTTTTCCCTTATCCATCACAATAATTTGATCACTGTCCATAACTAACTTTTACCAACATATTTCTAACTACAACACGAATCTAGACTGAAAAAGACTCATCATTAATCCAAGCATTAAATTACGTATATGTAAAGTATTGCCAAACAACATTGATCGATAATTGAGAAAAATTCTACTCTTATTATTCAAGCAAAATGTCTATATAATAACATATCAATTAGACCCAAATCTCTGGAAAATCTGTTCAATATTCAACTTACATTATTTTTCAGAATAATTCATTATGAAGATATTTAGATAAAATAGTAATTGTCTTCCAACATCTAACATGAATATAAAGAAGAAGATAACAATGATTTGATAAACTGTACCAGTTGACCATGAATTAATTTTTTAAATCATTAATTTTTGAATCCAAGTAAAATTTCATATTAAACATAAAACAAAATGAAAATAGAGAGAGAGAGAGGGGAGAAGAGAAGGAGGAGACTACCAGATTTGAAATAGTTTAAATATGTTTTCCAGGTTGACATTTCATCTGTTATTTCTTCTAATTGTTCTTTTTCTCCTCCTTTTTCTTCTCCTTTTTGCCTCCTCCTTTTCTTCCATCTCTTTTTTTACTACTATCATTTTCTTCTTGAAGATTACAATCATCTATATTTTCTCTACTTTCCAACACTTATGTCTAACAATTGTAATTTTTTAATTTCTTTTTATGTCCCATTATCGTCCATTGAAGAAATTTCGTCAATCATGCAAGCTTGTGTAATTATTTTTGTTAATAATTCTTTCAAGAGAATATATAATAAAAATGGAATTAAGTATCTTGTAAATAGCTGTGAAACAAAAATACAACTATTATTAAGAAAAATATTAAATTGAATACAGATGTCATCACTGCATTTTCTACGAAAATATACCCAATATTATGTAAATTTCAACAAACTTTTTGAAGTTTTTTCACCAGGACGACAAAATCAACAGTCTAATTCAAATAGTTTCAACTTTGGAAATTCATTTTTATACCATGTTGAAAATATGGAAAAAACTTAAAAACTAATGAAAAAGCTCTATTTTCGCCCAAAATTCAACAAATACCTACTTCATTCAGTTATTTAGTTAATATTGTTAATAATTTTTCTAGCAACTTTACTAGATTATATCAACAGTTATTGGGCTAGTCCAACAGTTACATTCCAAAAAAAGCATATTAAAGAAATTGAAAGAATTTTTTCCTTTGGAATAAATATTACCAGTTTACTATTTAATTTAATTTGTCAAACTTTTTATAATCATCTTTTTTTGGAAATTGCTTCCTCTGCAATGGCATGCAAATTCCTCCAAATCTCATCCTTAAAATGCTTTTTTAGATAAGGACATAATATCCATTTAACTGTTCTACTTGAACATTCCCAAAGACCTCCCTGATATGGTGCTCTGGAGCTTATGAAATTCCATTTTCCATTAAATTTCCTTGACACTTGGGTGAAAGTCACTGCATTATCTGATCAAATATTTCTTATTGGTCCTGTAAATATATAATCCTTAATAGTGCAAATTGACTGCTGTTTCTGTTCAATGACTCGATCAATTATTCATATTGAAATTTCCTAATTCTCCTCCACTCATCATATTCTTAAGGCAACCTCCCATTGGCCTAATTTGTTTTTGTGCAGATTCAATTTTTCTCTTATTCCAGAGGGAATAATTTTTTGCCTATAACTGTCAACATTTGGGAACTTCTCTGCAAATGCTCCAATTTGATGCCTGAACACAGCATGTTCTAGATAATTTCCTTTGAATTCTGCTTCCTTTTGAATTGCTTGAGATTTTATTTCTCCCAGATGATCTCCGAGAACAGACACTTCGTCATTATTAGAGAGTGTCTTTATTGACGTTATCTCCCTATCAGTATTGTCCTTTATTCAATTCTTGAAAGATCTTAAGATTAGTTTCAGAGAAACTATAATTTAAGGTGGTTTTGATGCTTTTGATTTTGAGGTCAGTGTTCAACCTACTTGTACTAAGAATCTAAGTAAAGTTTCTGTTTATATTTAAGGCTTTCATCAATCAACAGAGAGAGAGAAAGAGGAAAAAAGAAAAAGATAAAGAGAGAGCGTGAGAGGAAATGAAAAACAGATAGGGGAAGTGAAAGATAGAAAATCAGAAGTGGATTCCATCTATACCTTTATGTTAATATGTTGGACATTTCTCCAACAATTTCTCTAAGACAGCAAAGACAAGAGTTGAGATTATCATGCTTCTTTTTGATAGCATTGAGAGGTTTGCTGAGGTGTTCAATTTAAGTTCAAAGAGTTGTAAATGATGTGCAGTAATGAAATGGAAATAAATACAATGGATACAGTCATTACTAATAAAATCTCTGATGTTCAGTAAGAGTCTTTTCAAAGTTGTATTGATCAAATGAAAAATGACCCAGACAAGGAATATCTTATAAATTTAGAAAAAAGCAAGTCATAGATAATATACATGTCCTACATTTCAGTTTCCAGCATTCAGCTACATTGTGGCTGTTCGTCATGCAATTTTCACATAGTCCCAATTTTTTCACTAGTCTACCGCGACCCTCCATATCCATTCTCTTGAACTGTGGGCAATTTCTTAAAGGGTGCAGCTTTTTGCATGTGTAACACCACTGCTCTTTTTTCTTTCTGCTTTCCGTGGTCATCCTCTTATGTAGGCCTATCGCTCTTGCCAATCCTTGACATTGCACCTCAACAAATACTGCCATATCCTTGATGGATAAACTCATTTTTGCTCTTGCTTGCTCACTATTCCACTCAGCTCTCAACTGGGCATTCATATTGAATTTACTTATGACCACCAGCATTGCCTCTAATTGTCCACTATCCAAATCATTCCAATCCTTGTAATCTCCATGCACCTCTGTCAAGATTAGTTCTTCAAGATGACAGATATTGCCATCTCTTATTCTGCCCAACCTTTCCAATCTTGTAAATGCATCAGTGCACTGATACTTTACCTCACCATATCTCAACCTAACGAATTTCATTGCACTCTTATAGCCTTCCTTAGGTGAGTATCGAAATCTTTTGATAGCTTTCTTCACATCATTACTTAGTTGAGTGTACAGCAACTTGAATTTCTCCCATTCTTCCACATTGCCATATCTAGCCATGATGCTTTCATGCCTCACTATGAAGCCTTCAAACATTTTGGGCTCTCCTTTGAACATGATTGTAGTGTTCAGGATCATACTTTCTCCTCTTTCTACTTTCATTGGCGTACACATTTTTTGCTCATTTGTCACCCTTTCTACTTGGGCCTCTAGCCGTTCCATTTTTTCCTGGACCATCTCCAATTGCTCACACAGTTTGTTATTCATCTTTCTTATCTCTGCTTCCATGCTTCTGCTGCGCCAATATACATATATTTTTTATGTCTGCTTCGACATCTCCCTTGTCTATATCGTCACTCATGTTCATTCCTTGTGGGTGTTTGACTTTGGATGAGTAATCCTTCTCGACCACCTTGAGATATTTCTTTATCTTTCTTCTGGTTTCTGCTACTTGGTCTTCCATTTCCTCAGTAAATGAATCTTGCCACTCATCCAGCAGTTTCTCTGCCGTGAAACATCTTATCTTAATCAGACCTTTCGTGTAGCATCCATTTTCCAAACCTCTCTTGGTGTGTCCCATACACCTGTTTATTGTTTCCAACTTCTTCGTTGCACTCATCTTTTCTGGGTTCTTTGCCATCACTAAATTGTTCCAGAGCCAATGATATAATTTTATACTTTACAAGATTTTGTTTTTTGCTTGTATCATGGAATTTCAAACAATTCCATATAAAATTATATTAAAAATTCTGTTAGTCTCTCACACCGTTCTGTCACATTAACTCACGTTTATACTTTGCTAGCATCAATTTAATGGGTCTTTGACTGTGCTCAATTGTGGTGCCATGTATGTACCACGTCATTATTTACCAATGATGTGACATTGGCTAACCCACTGTCCCACCTTCTGGCTAAGTAAAACTCCCTTGCTAAGTGACGCTAACAAACTAACATACATTCACTCTCATACTAACACATAACATGCAACGTTCTGTTCATCTTCTTTTAAATTTTGATGTGATATCACGTCAACTGAACTGTCCTAAGTTTTGGCTAAGTCAAGCTACCCCTTTAAGTGACGCCAACTCACCAACATGCACACTGACATACCCTCACTGACTCAAACTAACACTAACTATATAATGATATGAAAGAACTTTTTCAGGGTCGGGTGCGAACATACCTATTAGCAAATTATTTCAAATGCTGAAAACATTTTAAGAAAGGGTTAGTTTGAAGATTTGGATGGATTTATTGTTAGAGGGGCTCCAATTTAGGTGGGCTTCAACCCTCACAACTTTTTCATTTACTTCAAAGTCATTATTTTTTAGTATGACATTAATTAAAGAGAAATCTAAAGATATTGAAAACCAAAATAATCCTATTACATTTTCATTCACAGAATCTACTTTAATTTAATTCAGATGACATTTAATGATCAAACAATACTGAATATTGATGTATTAGATTAATGAAAATCTAAAACAGATGTTATTATATTTTTATATTTTTAAAAAAACATCAGTCAATATCATTGCCTTGTTTTACCAGAAACAGAAAATGACATGTGAATAAATATTATCTTTATTTACTATTAATTGATATTTTTGGCATAAAATATAATCACAGAAAGAGATATATGGTTGGAAAAACCAACTATTCGTATTTTTCTTTCCAATTGAAGGCCTATCTAGAACAAACAAGTCTACAATTTTACATATTTTGAATATTTGAAATTTACTTTTAACATACCCAGGTAAATTCTGCTAACAAACTGTGAGATTGAAGAACTTGATGACGTCAGTACATTTGATTATTATTAACAATGTAGTCTGTACATGACAACAATGACAAGAGAAACACGTGTTAAAGATAGTTGTTTCATTGTTCATTAATCATTATTTAAACATTTCAACTGCAAAAATGGTAAAATTATATATCATGCTCAAAAAGAGCCAGAGATATTCGTGATTGTTCTATTAATAATTTTATCACAGAGTTGAATTACACAAAGAGTAAATAGAGTCAGGCTTAGAAAATAGATGATTTTTTTTTTTGCATGACAATGCCAAATTTCACAACAGCCAAGATCCAAGATCCTCTCTATATGATAGCCATCTTTATCAGCTGATTAAAAAAATACGGATGCGACAGAAAACATCCATTAAAATAACTTTTATTTAAATATAAATATATGTTGAAAAAGTAAAACTTTGAAAAAAAATATGTTAAGTATATAAATAATAAATGAAATATTCAATGGGCATTTTCAACAATATTCCAAAATCTTATATTAAACTTTCAACAGAATGCCAGTATTTTCCAAATATAGTGTAGTAAATAGTATTAAGATCAAGAGCCACGGCATTGAAATGGGAAATGGCATTAATGGATTAGCAAATCATATGATGAATCTTAAAAAAAGAAATTATTTTTGACAATTCAATTAAAATCTTTTGTTTTTTAATGAGGAAAACAAAACTTACACAATTGCATGAATTACTATGAGAGTTATCAAAAGATATAATTGTCTTTTCATTTGTGGCATATTGAACAGTGTCTTAGTGAATTAAACTTAAAAAAACATACTTTTCCAACTTAAAATTAAATGTACACCATGCTTTAAAAAATCTTTGTCATTCTACATACATTCATTCTCTGTTATTGTAATCTCACTAATTCTTATTCTTTTGTCAATGTCAATATTAGGAATGATTTTGTCATCTAAGAGTTTCTTGTTACCTTTTTTAAACAATTGATGAATGTTATTTTATTGAAAAAGGTAAGCAAAACTAAAACAATTTTCTAACCCTACCTTTCAATCAATATGCAGATTTTGCCAAGTTTTTTTTTCTACATTGCTATGCCAAGAGTTATTATTTAGATTAATTTAAAATGAATACTCAGCTTTGAAGATTTGTCCATAAGAGATTTTGTTTTTGTTTACTTTTAAATTTTTAAAAAAAGTACCAAAATTCTATGAATATGTTAACTAACTTTTATTTAATATATGGATGTTTTGTAATGGTTTTTTGTTAGCTTTCACCTGTTAATGAATTCACCTGTTGTCTTTATATATAAGATGTATCCTTCATGGTGAGTCCAATATGATTTGGGCATATTTTTGTATTTCATTACACCTTGACCAATTGAAGTTTTATAAACAAACATCTTACATTCATTTAATTCTTGACAATTATTTCCACAAAATTCTAAAGTATTAGTTGCAGTATTGAAATTGGATACGACAGAAAACGTCCCCAAATGCATGGTTTAACCCTAACCCTAACCTAGCCCTTGTCTCTCTCTAACCTTTTTGATTGATTCTAACCCTTAGATGGAACCCTCCTAACTACAAATCAAAAGCTACTTTACACCTCCTAACCATTTTTCAATTGGAAATGTTGCTTTCAAAAATCTCACTTGGGGACGTTTTCTGTCAGCCTCAGATATTTAGAAAAAAATAATTTTCTAATAAAAAATTTTCCTTTCTTTCATCTCTTTTTCTTTTTTTAGTTTTATATAGTACACATGAACTACTTTGACTAGGACAGTCATATAGATCTTGTTAAGTAAATTCTATATTATCAACTATATATACACTAAATGTAGACAGAGCTTTTGTGTCTGTATTGAACTATGACAATGACAATTGCAGTATTGTATTTGATAAAGATGAAATGAATAATAATTGATATTTTTTGCATAAAATAAGTAGAATAAATCAAAATAATACAATATGTGTGATTTACAATTGATAACTATCTGGGAGAAATGTTTATACAGTGTTTTTGTCCTTAGAATATGTAGATTTGCATTGTAATCTTTGTATGAATAAAAATGGATTTTTAATTAGTACTTATCTTCTCTTCAAAATCTCAAAAACTTCAGAATCTAAATAGAACTCAAGCTAAACACTCTCTTGAAAAAAAACTAGAATAAAATTTTCATTAAGATAATAGAAATTGGGTTTAAAACAATTCGGAAAACGGATTCAAAATATTTTTGGAGTTAATCTCTGTCAACAAGTGTAATTTACATGAAAAAAAATCATCAAGATTACAGTTATTTAACCTTATTTTCTGTAAAGTATAACAGAGTTTTCCCACCCGGATCAATGTTGCATTGATCATTCATTTTCATATCTCATAATAGTTTTCTCAACGTTAGAGAGATATTCATCAATTTCCTTTGCTCTGGTTTTCTTAAACAAAAATATCATTCGTCAAAGTTGAATTGTGGGCTGTCAACTGCGCCATATTTGTGCTTTGTGGTATTGTAATTGTAGGAATTTCTGCTTCTTCAGAACAGTATTCATTCTTTCCAATCATTTATCAATTTACCAAAGTACTCACACCACATAAAACCTTTCAAGTTGTCCACAAATAATCTTAAATGTAATTTCAGTAGAAATTAATCAACAAAATGGCAGTATTTCGTCTAAAGAAAATGTATTGAGTAAATGAGTTTCTAGTTCTAGACAAGTAAGTTTAAACAATCAGTTAACAGTTAAAGAACTGAACTGACAAGCTTGGGTTCAATTGAAATATATTTTGACATTAACACAATAGTTTATAAGCTCTTTTCTTTTTTGAGCCACCAAAATTGCTTGAATTGAGGTTTACCTACAAGTGCTATGCCATAGGATTGAGAAGTATGACCTCCATTACTGATATAGTATTGATCATCTGTACCATTTATTATATTAAACCAAACACTAATACTATATCCTCTACTACACAATGTTGGATTATAGATGCAAGTTGATCTATTATTTTCAACTAACAGATGACAGTGCATGCCATTCATGTAAAGAGCATTTCCTTTCACACCTCTCACCAAACTATCAAATCCACTATCAAAACTAACATACTGTACAGCTGGATATTAAAGTATTAATAACATTTTTGATATTAAAATGCTGTTGTACAAACCATGAAATAGATTATCTAGAAAACTTGATTGAAAAATACTGAAAATTATCACAATGATCAACATTTTCGTTTTTCAAGATGTTACTGTTCATAAATCTACTGTAATTTATTAATAACACTTTCTATATATTCAGCCTATTGAACAGTTCTTCAATATTTATTCTAGTCTTGTCAGCCTTTTTAATTTAAAGCTCTCACTTAAACATCACTCACTATCTGTAAATTTTAATTGCTTTCTATTGATATAAGTTTTGAGTATTATTAACTCACATTAGCGCCACGGAAGAAAACTAGTTGGCTGAATAATGAATAGGCCTATCTTTCACAGTCTACTCTAAAGAGGCTTTGAACATTCTACAAAATTCATGCTCATCATTATGAGCCCAAGGACTTGGATGGTAAATCATCAGTGGTACTATGGTTGTATTGTAGCAGCCATGGTCTTCAATGTACCTTGCCCCCAGCATTTGTAAGTCTTTCTCTCTTTTGGGATTCTCTTCAGGGCTAGAGTTACAAACCCAATAAGTCATTTGATCCAATGAATGTTCTCAAAAGTGATCAGAGACTAATTAATTGGATTTGTTCCTATACATGATTAGCAATTCTATCCCATATAGTTCTAGTAGAGGTACACATGAACCTCTTATTTACTATCGTCTGCTATGATTGAAATACCACTAGTGTCATCTGTCTTAGGCACAAGTTGTTTACAAAAAAAAATGTGTAAAATTTTACCTACCTAATTAAATACAAACTTTTAAACATTAGCATTTATTTCAAAAGTGTTTGTAATAAATTCTCTCCTGCAGAGCACACATTGTTTTTTCGTGATTAAACTATATAAAATAGATAATATCGCTAGTGCCATCTGGATTTAAAAAAAAAATTTATTTACTTAAAAATCGTATAAAAATTCCACTATCACAAAAGAAGGTCAAATAGCTTTCTTCCGGTTTTTACATATTTCTAAAAAAAAGACTGTTTTTCAAACATATATTTCCTAATGAAATAGTTAAGAGATTGAAGAAAATTACATTTTGAAAAAGTGACTATGTTTGAAGAATGAACACAAATTAAGAATAGTTAAATATTCAAGATAAGAAAAATCTGAAATTCTAACAAAGTTTCGCTTCACTGAATTTGAATGTGATTGGTCTATTCAAAAGAAGTACAACATGAAGATTTTTGCTATAATATCAATATATTTTATATTATCTGAGTCGTGCTACTTTCGAAATGTTGAGGTAGAAGGAGATTTCTACTTGGCAACATTTCTTGCTTTTCACACTGACGAGTATTGTACGGGACCAATTTCCGAGGCTATTTTATATCAATATGAAGCCTTATTATGGGCTGTTGAGAGATTGAACAATCATTCCTTCTTTGGCAAAGAAAGAATTGGTAACATTCAATTGTTCAACACCCTTTTGACCTTGTACTGATGTCACCATCTTTTTTTTGATTTTTTTAGGTCTAAAGGTTTTCGATACTTGTTTCAGTAAGTTTCATACATCAAACTATCTAATCGATGATATATTGAAACACGACACTTTGAAAATCAATTATATAAGTTCGCTATATAATTGTTCGGATACTGAGGACAACGTCGTTGGTAATAAATATGAAATATAATTATTCTTTTGTAATTTTTATGCAAATTTTATAAATAGGAATTCTTGGACCAACTACTAGTGCTATATCCGAAACTATATCCACTTTTCTTAAAAAGACTAACACAGAAATGGCAACTTTTGGAATTTCCGCAACATTGACTAGTCTTAGCAATGAGGAAGTATTTCCAAACTTTTTTCGAGTTGTTCCCCCGGATATAATTCAAACTCAGGTAAATTTTTGTTTTATTATTTTAAATGATTTTTAATAGTTTTATCCTTTTAGTCTCTTGCTTCATTAATGGAAAAATTTGGCTGGAATTTTATTCTAACGATGAGTACAGACGATTCCTATGGAACGGAAGGTTTGAAAGAACTTCATGAAATATTGAAAGATAAAAAAATTTGCTACATACAATGTCCTCTTATAAAAATTGGTAGAATTTATTGGCCCGAGTGGGGACAAAAGTTTTATGATGAAATATATGAAAAAATTAATTTTGAAACTATTGGAATTGTATTCTATGGTCAACCGGAAACGTTTAAGACTGCTGTTGAAACCTTAGGACGAAAACTAAGAAACAAAGCTGCCAACTTAACGTGGATTGTTACTGAGAGTTATACTGAAGAAATAAAAGATATGTCCCAAAACCCCGATTTGGCCAATTTTACTGTATTAAAACTTGAATTATCCCATACTTTAGGCCTAAAAGAGGTAAATAGATATTTACAAGAGAAATCTGGTGATACCATTATGAATCCATGGTGGGCTGAATGTCAACAGAAAAAAACAACAGGAGATTGTTCACTGAAACAATATCACAAATTTCCTCCAAAATATACCACATCTGCTCTAGATGCGCTTTATTTTTATGCCCAAGCCATAAAAAATGGGCTAAATGAGAATAAATGTAAAACATATAGACATTGTTTGGAATTGAGGAGTCATGTTATCAAATTTTTGAAAGGTGCTCAACTTGATTATATTGGTCAACAATGGAGTGAAGTTATACCTGAGGAGTTTAAAGGCAGAAATATATCACTTGACGAAACTGGTGACTTGAACTTGGACTCTAAAAATGAAATTTTGACAATTAAATCTTTTCATTTAAAAGAAACAGATGGAGAAGGTGATATTGTTGGTTATATTTCTAAAAAACTCCTGAACTTAGCTAATGAAAAATTAACAAAAACTCTAGTTGGAAAATCACAATGTCCTGTTGGAACAAAATGTACACAGTATTGCGAAGATAATACAAAGTTAAAACACGCTTATGTTAAATCTAATGTATCTACAAAGAAGAATAAGAAGAATAAGTCCATTATCATTGCAATACTTCCGATTAATGAGAATTCTGATAGAACAGATCCTAATGAAATTGTTAATTTGAAATGTTCAAATACTGCACGTAAAAATTCAGCTGGTTATCAACTGTTTGAGGCATTTAAATATGCAATTGAAAAATATTCTACCAATTTGGAAGGTATAGCATTCGATGATTGTTACAATCCTCTTCGGCCAGCTAAAATATTTACTGATTTGCTTTCTGGTGAGGTAGCTGCCATAAACATAAAAGGAGAGCGTGTTACAGTCAATAAAGATGATGTTATAGCTATTATAGGGACGGAGAGTAGTGATGTAACAAGAAATATTGCCCCGTTTGCTGAACAACTGAAAGTTGTTCAAATTTCATTTGGAGCAACTGCAGTTGTATTTGATAATAAAAAATTGTTTCCCAACTTTTTAAGAACTGTTCCATCTGATTCTGCCCAAGCTGAAGCTATGGTAAAAGTTGCTGTAAAGCTAAACTGGAAATGTGCATGCATTATTCACACTACAAACCTATATGGTAATGGGGGAGCTGAAAAGCTTGAGGAATATGCCAAAAAATATGGAATTTTCATATCTTTTAAACGTAACTTTACAAGTCAAAATGAAAATGAGCCTTCAGGTTATGAGTATACACAAATAATTACTAAGCTTCAAGATGAAAACTCTCCACACCAGATCTTTTATTTCGGCGATAATCAACCAGTTAAAGGCTTACTTGAAGAATTGAAAAAAATAAAGGATTGGAAAAAATTCCTTTTCATAGCAAGTGAGTCATGGGGCGATAGTAAGTCAGTAGTTAAGGGATCTGAAGGTGCTGCAGAAAATGCTATAACAATAAAAATAAATTCTCCAACAGGGAAAGATGTGAACAAAAATTTGGACAAATATCTAGATAATATAACTTTTAAATTTCATAAAAATGTGAATAATCCATGGTACAATAAATTTTATCAAAAGATAAATGAGTGCTATCTACAAGAAAGTTGGCAAAAACCATTGAATGCTAAGGAATGTGCTCTTAACATATCACATTCGAAAGTCGACAGAAGTGGTCGTCAATTTTGCTATCATGTTATAACAAGTGTTATTGCAGTTAACGAAGCTGTAAAGTTAATAAATGCCCGCGGTGATCAAAAAAGTGCCGCTGAATATAAAGAGTATTTGAGACAAGAAAAACCGTTTTTAAAGATTTTTAAACAAGCTGAACTCCCGAATACGAAGGCTAAAATATTTAATGAGGATGGTAATGGTAAATCACTGTATTCACTTTACTATTACACCAAAAAGGATAAAAACACATATGAATACACACATATTGAAAGTCTAGATTTCGATATAGGCATCATCAAACAGAATTATAAAGTGGTTAATCAATGTAAAGATCCGCCTCTCCCTTCTCGAAACGTATTACTCTTAGTTATCATTGTGATGTCTTGCGCAATGGGAGTAATTGTTCTAATTGCTTGTTCTTTCGGAATATATAAAATTGTATCGTTTTTTTCTCGCACAAGACGCCCAAAAGAAGTAATCAGAAATCAAACAAACTTGGAAATTCACAACTGGATTAGTCAAACGAATGACATGGCTAGACCAAATCATCAATTGCGTGGAGATGATGATTCTATAGCATTCGAAAGTGTTGTTCATTCGGCTCCAAGTGATACGAAAGTTAGTTTTATCTGAAACTGAAGGAAAACTTTTCATTTTTTAAGCTTGTAATACTGAAAAGTGTTGATATTTCTATTTTTGCTTACTTAGCCATTTTTTCGGTCAATTATGAAAGCAAGTCAAGATATATACATATATCATAATGTTTATTGAGCTCTGTTCAAAAAGCTCTTTTCCTCTAACTTTTGCTTAACATTGAAACTAATTTATTTACTTTTTGATTTTTGAAACAAACATTTAAATATACAACAATACATATAGATTTTTTTTCTTGAACAGTAATTTGACAAAGCAATAATACAATATGGCAATTGTCACCTTTGTAATCAATAAAATCAACTAATTCAATTTTTTTTTTCACTCTTTTAATAACAAAAGATTTTATATCTTGAAAAAATCTGCCAAGAATCAGTTGACAGTAACTTTTGACCAAGGACAGTCCAGTCTTCAAAATATTTTAATTTTACCATTTTATCAGCTCCTCTAACTTCAAAATCTAAAGTTGTTAGGGAAAAACAGTCCGGAATGTAGTCAGTGCAATGTAGACATTTTGCTTGACTTGGATCCACACAGATTGAGTATTGACAATTTTTCAGTTTAACAGTAAAAAGTAATCCTGGGGGACATTGTTGAGGGAATGGATTTCCATTTATGCAGGGTTAGTATCAGGGAATTGATGGGTTGTAGATCATTATTGAGTGGACATTGAAATTGATTTCCATAAAGAAGTGGAATTATCATTGCTAATGGAATAATGTAAAGAATGATGAACGAGTTAAAAAAAAGTAAAAATTTTAACTCACCTAATATAAATGCTGTTGACAAAGCCTTCATTTTCAACTCTGTGCCAAAATCATAGCTGTTATTGTTATATATATAATGCGAAACTTATCTATTGGACTTTTGATAAAAGTTATCAGTGTAACGTTATGAATTTCAATATATAACAAATAATCACTAACTTTTCAAAAGTAATCAGATTACTAATTATTTATGATTATTTTGAATAGAATATATTTCTTTAAATCCACAAAAAATTATCATTTAAAGTATGAGAAGTGATTGTTGTAAGATTATAGAAACTGTTACCATTTTAAATGTCATCAAAGATTTTTGGAAAGGAAATTGATGTTTATCATTTCAAGATATGCTTGGGTCATTATTTATATTATAATATTAATCAATGATTTCCTTTGATTTATTCAATGAAGAGAATTAATTTATTAAACAACTCTATTGGTATGAATAAGAAGAAATGTTAATAGACTTCTGACATTTTAAATTTTCATTGGGAATATATTAATTTTAATTATATTTTATAATAACCTCATTCTTTACAACTGTGCAAAGGAAAAATGTTTGTCCAGCTCAGTGTATTGGTTGTTTTCTTCTTTCTACTTTTAGCCAAGAACGCAGCTAATGACCTCAATAGTAATATTTCTGCCCAATTCATCTCCTCTACAATCTATTGTACTATTTTATGATTTCAGCTTGCTCCTATTCCAGTATTGAAGACAAGTCCTTCAGTGGTGATACCTTGATTAAGGTATTATATGATCAGCAGAGTGTTAATTTGTGTAAATGGACATGTGACTTTTTGAAGGAATGCAAGTTAGTTTCAATTTAACGAAAAGAAATACTGATAATTTTAAAAATCTACTGATTAACATAAATTGATTTTTAGATCTTTTATTCATATTCAAAGTTCAAAAACTTGCAATATTAAATTGAAGTCAAAGCTTGAAATTGGGACTTTACAATCGGCTGCTGGAGAAGTTTACTTTGAAAAAAATACTTCATGCAGTTTGTTATTTATCTTTATCAGAAAAATGAAAAGAAATAATTCACTCTTTATCAATAATTGCAGCTCCGCAAAATATAGCAGGTACAACAATTATGACTATAACATGTGAAGTAATCAAATTTAGCCTATATATATATATATACCACTCATACTCTTTACAGAGAATATGATGGAAGTAAAGCAGGGTTATTTTTTTGGTAATCAACAGGATTTTATCAAGTTGGCATCTATTCCTGGTCAGCTGAATCTAGAATATTGTAAGATATTGTGTCAAATTCTCCCACAATGCATGTCAGTATTTTCACAATAGCAATTCTGTGTTTTTTTTTATTTGCAGTTGTAAATCATTTTTCTTTTCAGAGGTGCTGATGTCTTTACAGATACACCAAGATGTTATTTAAAGAGCAAGCATGCTGTTAATGATATATCATTTACAAGTGTTGCTAATAATTACTATGCCATTGTAAAAACACCAAGTAAGTATTTGTTTTTAATGTCAGCATGAATTGATCAATCCGTACCATTATTCATTAACTTCTCATTCAAACACTATGTCAATTAAGAATAACACCAGCTTTTATACTAAATATTTCACGAAAGTCATACATCCTTTACTAGCAAATTTTTCTCCATTTTTTTTACAATTACATTAGATTGTAGGCTTTTTAAAGATAAATTGACATTTTTATGATGTAAGTCAACATGAATAGGATTGGGGAATATATATTAATTAGTTGCAATTGACTAGAAGACTTCTACATGGAGAGTGCAATGTAGTACAACAAAACTTTAACATGAGAGATTTCTTTACAAAGATCCTCTGAACTAAGGGATTTATTGAATCTGTATATGAAACTAGAACAGTTGAGTATAAAATTTGACATGTTGAAGTATAAATTGCTGCCTGCCTGATCATACTTAAGGTTCATCTTTAAGTGCCACTTAAGGTTTGGCCAAGTTGTGATTGATGAGCTTGTTTAGGGTTCAGCCAAATATGATTAATAGGTTAGGTTAGGTCTTGGGGTTAGGGATTAGCACAATCAGTACAGACTGGTAATCCCAAAAGTGCACACACACTTGTAACCAAGATTTGGCTAAGGGTTGGTTTGGCTAATGAGGAGTTGCTATCTTAAGTAGCAATTCCCCAGCCTAAGCTGTAACTATCTTCAACAAAATCACTTACAAATTCTCCACAAGGGTGAAGAGAACCTTTATTTAGCAACTGTAACAATTCACCAATTAAAAAATACTCACAATATTTCAGACGTATTCCTCCTTTATCAAGTGAGAGGGGAAAAGTGGCTGGTTAGATTACCACCAGACTGATCTCTGAGAGGCTTACTATATCTTAGGATAGGTACTGGTTCAATCCCACACTTTTTTCGCTACAAATCACATACTTGGTAGTCAGTAAAGCAAGTCGACCACTGACGAAAGTTGAAATTTCAACTTGCTCCAATTGTTATGAAATTTTACACAGTGCTAGGGTACCTTAGGGTACTATGTAGCATAAGGTCTGTAGACCCATGTTAAACTTTCAACCCCTTATATATATCAGACACACTTGTTCCTGTATGTAAGGAATGCACTGAGAGATGATTGAAGGTAGAGGTTATGGTTACATTAGACTGCTCATGTATGATTGTCAATGGGTTGTCTTTGTGTTGATTGGGAAACCAGAAGGGACCTTTTGTTGGGGAACTTTTGTTCACTGCCAACTGTCAACCATCTGTTCTCTCATAGAGAGGTGTCTCCCCACAAATTACCCCATTTTTTATTTTAACAATTGTTCAGAACAGGTCCCATGTATATCCAGTCTGTACCTTTGTCTCTGCTAAGGTATGTGTTGGTTCCATTATCTTAGGTTAGGGTTAGTTGTAAAGTTTCACTAATTTGTATCTTTTTAGGGGGCTATAGCTTAGGGTTAGGATATAAGAACCAGATGTGGTGTTTTTGTTGGGGAACTGTTTGTTCACTGCCAACTACCACAACCTGTTTCCCATTAAAGAGGTGTTCAATCCCTACTCAGCCAATAACTAGCCCTATTAATTTTCATTCACTGTCAATTTCTCTCTGTATCTCCAATAGGAGATTAATACCTGCAAAACTACTATCCTGATCATCCCCCACCCAGCTATTGGCCATGGTGAGAATTGTGTCATTGCTGTTGTCCAGGCTCTCTATGTTATTCACAATAGAGAATTTGTTTTGTGGTTTATTGAAGACTGTTTTAATATGCCACCATGGGGATGGCCAACATTCTAATAGATTCAGAGTGTTGGTATTATCCTCTTGAGGTGGACCTTCAGTTCTTCCCTTTACTATAAGGCTACCCAATGATCTCCCCAGTTTCAAGGCAATAATAGGCCTAATCACCTTCAGTGGACTGTCATCATTAAGAGCACTCCAGTGGTGCTTAAGTATTCTATTTAGTTTATACCAAGGACTTGGATGGTAGACCACTAGTGGTACTATAGTAGTACTGTAGCAACCATGATCCTCATTTAAGCCATAAGGAGTAACTGTATTAGCCTCTTTGATGTACCTTGCTTCTAAAGTCTGTAGGGTCTTCTCTCTGTTAGGATCTTCCTCAGGAATGGAATCACAGACCCAATAAGTCATCTGATCTATTCCATGTTTTCAAAAATGATCAGAGACCAATTTATTGGATCCATTCCTCACATCCCCTTTGTGGTTGTTGATTCTATCCCTTAGAGTTCTAGTGGTAAGACCCACATACTGTATTTCACATAGGGTACATTGGATAATGTAAATTATCCAACTAGAGGTACAGTCAAAGTCTCCCTTGACTCTGAACCATTGGTTACTGCCAGTTGATTGCCAAGTGTTAGTTTTCCTAACCTTCAGACACACTAGGCATCTCCTACCACTGCATGGTTTCATACCTTCAAACTCTTGCTTCTCAATTTCAATCCTCTTAGTAGCTTTTAGCCATGCCTCTTTGAACATTGATTTGGTATAGCCCATATCTTTGTTTAAATTCCTAAGATCATTGAGTTGTCCCTTTGCTGTATCAATTTTTGAGCAATTTCTGAGATACCTAAGAGCTTGTGCAAATAAAATTCCTTTAATGGTGTTTTTGGGATGTGCAGACTTGGGGTTAAGTAGTCTTCTACTGTCTGTAGGTTGAAATTGATCTTTAAAGCGTAACCATGGATATATTCCAGTTGTTAATTAATGTTGTAATATGAAATGGTGATTACTCATTGGAACATTTTCCAACTGTAGCAGTAAAAATTCCACTCTTTTTAACGGCTGCTACACAAAAAATATGAATAGGGGTAATTGTATGTTTATTAAACTTGTGATAATGAAATCTATGTTATACTGAATGACACATCACCTAATGAATTATAGGGAAAAACTGGTGTTAGTCTATACTACCTGGAAAAAACCAGTCTAATCCAATCCAATAATTGTTTTTTCAAATTACAGAATAATAGAATAATTCTTATGAACTGTTTTATAATTAAAGCTGAGGTCATGTTTAATTATTCAAAAAACAAGAATAATTAATATAAAAATGACATAATTGTTTAAATATTTGTGTTTTCAATTGTTAGGTAAAAAGTTTTAAAGTTGGAAAATTGAAAAATTGATGAGTTTTTTTTTCCTTTGGCATTTAGCTACTGCTGAACAGTTTGTAGAGTGTCAATATGAATTTCTATAGAAATTTTTTTAATTTAATTTTTTGTATTAAAGTTTCCAGTTTTTCACCAATTCAAGATTATATTTCATGTCAGGAAGCATTGACAAAAACTGAACAAGATGGATCCTACTCAATAAAACCAAGATTAAATGGGCAAACAGCCAATGTTGTATGCAATAGAATAAATTCAACACATGGTATTGCAATGTTGAGCAACAGTAGAGAAATTGAAAAGGTATTATCAAAAACATATGAAACTAAATTTCACATTGATAGAATTACCTATGGAAATTTTAATGATGATGATATCAAAGAATTTAAGAAGGGAATGCTAAGTTGTTCTCAAAGAATTTCCTACAAGAATCGAGGAGCTAGTCTAATATGGCAAAAACTTTTATTTTATGATGGAACATTCTTTTCAAGCTTGAATGATGGTCAAGATGGAATATGCAAATGCTTCGTTCGAACTGTATGTGATAATAATGGTGATCCTCAATCAATTTGTACAATGACTGGAGTGAATGGGGGTAGTGAACAAACTGAGGAAGGAGAATTTAGCGTTAAAGAAGATAGCTTGCCACTAATTGAGATTCACACTGCTGATGTAGGAAATACTAATGAGGCAGTACGTTACACTTTAGAAAAATTTAAATGTACTTTTCAATTTATGACCTTTAACCTCTTTACAACTAAAAATACAACTTGCCTAAAATCTGACCAGTTGACAGCATTAAACGACAAAAATATTGCAACTTGTATTTCAATTCCAATTGAGAATACTATTCAATTGGACAGTAATACAGAATTTGAATTTGGAGAAATTCTAACAAAATTAACATTCTCCTGCAAATCTTATATTGAAATATTCATACAAAAAGAAACTGATAAAAAACTTATTTGTTCAATATTTGCAAACTGCAAATTTGAATGTCCAGCAACTCAATCTATACATTTTAGAATGTTTAAATCAATGGAAATTTGTGATATTCTTTTATATTAATGAAATATTACTTATCATCTTTATTTAGCTACAAAGCCTTTTTCATTAGCATAATATGTGTTATTCTTGGCATATACAATGTTTAAAAACACTTTTAAAAATATCCTCTAGAGGGCTATAACAGTTCACTAAAAATTGAACATTTCTGATGATATTTCTGATTTCAATGTCTGTAAATCATTTTCTCTTAAATAAATCAAAAAATAAATTCATAAAATTCCAATAAACTCAGCCTCTTATGACTCATCTATTGTGATTAGAAAATAGTGTCTATTTCTAAAATGCCAGCATATGTTTTTTACTTCTGATTAGGTTTTTGTAATGTTGAACTAGATACTAAGATCTAAGTTCTGATGAAAGTTGAATAACTTCCACCAAAGTTTCAAGAGATTCCACAATGGTATGGAATGCAAGAGTAAGAACACTCTGTACAAGCAAGACTATCTACAACTGATTGATGAAAAATGTGTGTTGAGTTTATGTTTTAATTGTTTGATGGTTACTAAGCATAGTTGACCTACCATGATTTCGTCTTCCCCTTTGCAAAGACTCGTCAGGGTCATTTTTAGAAGATAGCTTCACTTACTGCTACCTTTGAAGGGGAGGCTAGGATCATTTCTGCAATTGTGTCCTGCCTTGCATTTTATTTTAGTGGGATGATTGTGTTTTAGAGTTTACATGTTTGTAATTTTTATTTTCAAACAGATTTTTTTCATTGTACAATGTTTGAGTTATGTAGACTGTAAAAAGTATATTTATATTTGTCTGATAAGTCTCATTGCAACAATGAAGAAATGCCTATGTTTAATGAATTAATTGTGAAAGTATATGGTTTTTACTTGACAGAGAAACAACAATTACTTCAAAGAAACACTATTGTACCTTTCTTTGAACAGATAAATTATAGGAATGTATAACTCACTTTGGTTTTCTTACACCTTTTGTTCTGAAAATTTCTTCCTAATGCAGCCTGTAGAAGGTTTTTGGGTTATTTTTGTCTTTGTTTTGTTGTTTTTTGAGGCTGATTTCTTTTTATGATAGGATTTTTTTTCAACTGATGATATGTGGCTTGTTGTTGAGTTTTTATAGGTGGTGGTTATGTAATTGACATATGTCAAGATATTGCATTTTTTCTTGAAGGGCATGTTTTACTATGTAAGTCCTTCCTGGGATATGTCTGTTGACCATCTGTTGCTTCTATATGGGAAAGTAAATACAAGGGATTTATGATGGACCTACAAATTTAATGAAGTATAATAAATGTATATTTTTTGGTCTAAACAAACACAACATCAAAATGGACTAATATAATGTTTGTTTTCTAAAATTGCTTTTTTCTTCTTATGCTTGATAAAAATATTCATTTGAAATATAAACATGCAAAGAATTAATAATTTTGATGGTTGAAAGTAACACTTCTGATTAATTTTACTGTTGATTTGAAGCTTGGAGAATTGGTCTGTTTATTTTCTTTTTTCTTCCAGTTCTACTTTGTTGTTGTTGAAAGACTTCTTTACACTTGACCATAATTTCATTTGTAATCAAGTGTTGAACAATATTTCTCAAAGAAGATATCTTTCCAGGCAGAACAGTACCATGAAAAGGATCTCCTCTTATGATGGTATTAATATCAATAATTTTTGTAAACATGTTGTTCAAGTTTTCAGATTGTGAGGTTGGTTGTTGATGGAGATCACTTTTTTTGATGTTATATTGCATAAATAATAAGCATTCATTAGTAACTCCAGTGCTTTTATACAAAGCTTTAAAATTATCGTCAGCATCATTAATGGTGTTAAAGGGAATGTGAAGTGCTGTTATATCACTTTTTATTTTCCATTTGGATATAATTTCTTTACAATTTTGAACAGTTAAGCCAGAAATGTTTATAATGAGAACAGTTCCAAAATAGCTGATGTTTTTTTTAACATCTTCTACCTGAAGTAAATATAAGTCACCCAAACTTTCATCACTTAAAAGAAGTAAATTAATTTTGTTGGGAAATCACA